AAATAATGAAAACTTGAATGATGCAAAGTATTAGTAATGTCCTATATTCTAATGCTTGGATTTTTTTTTTCCATGAAGTCTTGCTCTGTAGTCCAGGCTGGAGTGCAATGGTGCGATCTCAGTTCACTGCAACCTCCACCTCCCAGATTCAAGCAATTCTGCCTCAGCCTCCCGAGTAGCTGGGATTAGAGGTGCCCGCCACCACGCCCAGCTAATATTTTTGTAATTAAAACTTGGAATATTTTGAAAAACTCCTTCCTCCTAGAGAGCTACCAAATGAAAATTTTTTTCTGATTATCTTTTTGTCATTTTTGGAATTAGGAGTGCTTTAGGTATCTGAATTCATTCAACAAGCATTTACTGAGTGGCTGCTATGTGCCTGGTATGGCTCTAAGTGCTAGAGATGAAAAGAGTCACCAAAGTCTTTGCTGTCGTGGAGCCCTCATTCTAGTGGGGTAGGCAGACAGCAAAGAAACAAGTCCTGCATGTCACATAGTGTCAGGTGGTGTCAAGCGGTAGACAGAGAAGCTCAACATGAGAAAGGGAGAGAGAGCAGCTCCACACACTCACAAAATGGGAGTGAGAACTTCAAGCCAGTGGATGTTGTCTAATATAGGCCAATAACCTTCCCTCCATCCATCCAATCAAAGAGCTTTGCTTTTTGCTTTTTCCTTTTAAAACTCAATGATTTTCTTTTTCTTTTCTTTTTTGTTTTTTTTAAGCATCATTCACCTCTAAAAACCATCCCAATTGCAAATGCTAATATTTCATGCGGTTGTCCTTAACCAGCCCACGTGTGTAGAAGGGCAGGAACATATGCAGAATACTGGGCGAAGGGGAAGGAAGTCAAGATGACTTGAATTTCCAGACTTGCCTTGGATATTTAGAAAACAGTCGTTTTAGATACAAGTGTACACTTACACTTTGAGTACTCCCCTCTCCTCTCTGACAAAGATTCTCTGCTTGACCAAACTTTAGTCAAGCTTCTGAAACTTCCCTTTGACCCACCTGTACACTTCCTTATAAAATTCTGTTTTAGTAAAGAGCCCTGTTAAGTCAGTTTAGGAAGAACCCCCACCCTGGATATCTTATCAGGTTCCTTACCCTCCACCCTCCCCCAGGTGTTGTCTGAGCACCCTGGCCTGTCTTCAGCAAGAGTCCTGTTGGGTCAGTGTATTCAGATCCCCGCTTACCCCTGATGTTTCCTTAAGTAATTTTCCATCCCCTGAGCCCCAGCCTGCTCCTTGGCTATCCGTTCCCACTTGTCCATGCTGCATCTGAAGTTGAGCCCAATCTCTCTCCCCTGACGCCATGCAGCAGTCCCTATAGCTATCTACTATCTCCATGGTTCTCAATAACATCTGCTTTACTGTCTTCATCAAGTTTCATTCCATGTTTTTTTTCTTTAATATCTTCACCATCTCCACACAGAAATATTCTCCTTTTAAATGGACATTCAGTAACTGAGAGTGATGTGGCTGTTCTATATTTAAAATTAACCTAGGAGTATGTTGTCTCTGAAAAACTGCACACCAGATTGCCTCACAGATCACAGCTGAGACAGACGTCCTCAAGTGAGCCCTGGCAGGCTGCCTAGGAAGAATGGAAGTGGGAGTCGGGGCTGTTCTCTCTTAATACACCTTGGTAGATACATTTTTCTGCCCTCCAACCCCATTTCGAGTCTGCTCTGATGGAGAAAAGTGACGAGAGCGAATCCTTCATGGGCTGTTTGTTATCTCACACACACACACACAAACACACACATACACACCTGGATCAATGCATTCCCCCTCTAGGGGATTCAGTTGCATGGATGCTGCCCCACCCACCGAGGAAAGCTGCAAGTTTGAGCAGCTCCGGCTCTGGAACCAAAGGCTTTTGTTTAAGGAATTACCAGGCACTAAGCAGAGGCAATTCAAAACCGGTTAAACCAGTGTGGCAAGGAGACTGATTCAGACTCCTCAGAGGTTTCTCCAAGTGTAACAGACACAAGCAACCCAGTTTCCTTTAAGGAGTCACAGGAAAGGTCAACCTAGTCAAGTGGTAGGGGAAAGACATCACTGGAAACCATTAGTCATGTGGATGACACGGGGCCATACCGTACTGAGGAAAAGCCACAATTGAGATATAAAGTTGCTGGGCATGAAAGACAAGCAGAGAAGGCTTCCCAGGAAAAGGGACATTTTAGTTGTGGCAAGGAGAATTTGCCAGAAGGATGGTTTAAGAAGCTGAACCTTTAAATAAATGTCTTAAATATAATAAAATTCCACTTAGGAAATCATCTTAAAACTTAACAATAGGGAATATTTATTAGGACAGGAAAGAAAACTCTAAGATATTTGAATATATCTCATAGAGATTAAGAATTTTTTTAAAGACAGTTGTGATAACAGTTCCCACCAATATTGCAATACCTTGTTTATAACTGAATTAAAACAAAAATTATTTGGAAATTATAAAACAAAACATCTAAAACAATGGTCTCTCTACCTTGAAAGAAAGGTATTGCACAAATATAGCCTAGCTTACATATAAAGATTTCAAGCATTCAAATAATGCTAATTTATTTCATTTATTAACAAGCTTATTTACAGTTATTGGGTAGGCAAGACTACAGGAATAAATGATTCAAAAGAAATGCTTAATAATTAAAAAGTGATTGTACTACCATTGGACCTAGCAATTCCATTCCTATATGTATAGCTAAGAGAAATAAAAACATCCCTATGCAAAAACTTGGACACAGATGTTCATAGCAGCATTATTTATAATAATTATTGTAAATAAAGATGGGAAACAGTCCATATGTCCATCAACTGATGAGTGGATAAATAAAATATCCATACAATGGGATAATATTTGGCAATAAAAAGGAAAGAAGTACTGATACGTACTACAAAATGGATGAACCTTGAGAACACTATAATATGTGAAAGAAGCCAGTCACAAAAGACCACATACTGTCTAATTCCATTTATACGAAAAGTCCAGAATAGGCAAATTTATAGAGACAGAAAGTAGATTCTTATTTGCCCAGATCTAGAGGGATGGAGATGAGAAGTTACTGTTAATGGGTAGGGGGGTTCTTTGTGGGGTGATGAAATGGTCTAAACATGTGGTTATGATCATGGAATTTCATGGAACTATGAAATACAGTCTGCTCTCTGAAGAAATGCTACTGCTATCAAAAAAAAAAAAAAAACGCTTTCACTGAACAGGTTAGTTTTATATTTTTGTCTCAGAAAAAAGAATTCAGTTACCAGACAAAGGATGCAATTTCCAGTGACAAAATGCCAGGCCTAAATTAAGCTGCTTCAAAATATACCACAAGATCTCTAATGACCTCCAGTGGTCATGACTAAAATTGCGTGGTTTATGATACCTGAGCCTAGAACACGACGCACAAAGTGGTTATAAATGTGACGTCTGGTCTGTTATTTTCTTATCTTGAAAGCTGCAAAGTTGGAGTAAAAGGAAACATAGCCAATGACTATCATAAAATGTCTCTTCCCCCTGATACTTCAACATTGACTGAAGGGCCTGTTTATCCGTGCCCTGTCTTTGCAGCCTCTTTCAACAGAGCCAGAAAGACGCCTGTCTCCTTCCAGTGACTCCACTGAGAGAGTCCATTAACAATCTGCTTTGCACCCACAGATGCAGGAGTAGCCGACACGTGAGGAGGAGAGAAAAAATGACTGATCAAAAGAGACTGGCAGGAAAACACGTAAGAAAGAACAAGAAGCAAGTGCTCCACCTAAAATACGCCAATTTGGTCATGCACAACTCTCAGATACTTTTGCGGGCTATCTAAGACATCCGAAGGTTACCCTCTCCTGCAGCCTCACCACCAAGTTCTAGTGAAAGTACCTAACATCAAATGATGCCATACTTAAAAGTTTTTCTAAACAAACATTAGTAAATAAGCCCAAACAACTTCACACAGTCTCCTCTGTAGGCCTAATGAAGTCCCAGCTCTCTCTCCTCTGGGTAAAAGGTTCATTCGAAAGGACAATGTTTCACAAACAGTATTCTATTATTTTTACCCTCATTGTTGGCCTCGGGCTACCAAAAATCCTCCAGACTAACATAAGGCCATTTATTTGGCATTGAAGGCTGGAAAAGCATCCTGCCACACACCCGCTACCAGCCTGGCTGGATTCTTCAGCCACACCCAGGCAAGCTGGAGGGCTCTCTAGAATATTTCGGTCAGTCCACACATATCTTGAATACCTTTAACTTCACAAAAGAGAATCCGTTTCTAACATTCGTCTGGCTAGTTAACAAGCCACAGGTTGTTTTGAGAATAATGCCTGATATTTGCTATGCTAATTAGTAAAGTATCTGATAACTCAGGTATTTTGACCTTCCAAACTAGAGCTGGCTAATCATTCCTAGGGTATTCATTCCTGACCAGAACATGAGCTGACCCTGGGCATAACTTCAACTCACAGATGTCACACTGTCTGTGCTGAGTGTTTTAAAGTAAATTACAGACATAACATGAGGGAAGGGGAAGAAAAAGAAAGAGAACCCTCTTGGCAATCCTTGACTAGGGCTGTGTAAGTCTTGCCCATATTCCTAAATGTTTCAACCACTGTCACTTGTCATATATTTTTTAGATCCATCCATTCATTTAATGATTTTGCCTACCTATGTCCCAGACATCCATTTGCAATATATTGTCTGTCTGATGGTTCCAAGGAAAATTTAATATGCTAAGAGAATGTTAAAAATTCACTGACTGAAGCCATTGTGTTTTTGCCAACATGAAACAGTCCCACCATACTATGAAAGCGTTAAATCCCCCCACGGCTCCACTTTAGCCTCAAGGAGAAAAGGAGAAAGCAGGCACTGGAAGAGTCTGTTTATAAACCTTAAAATATCAATTGCCTGTTTTTTTTTTTCCCCTAGGAACAAAACATCTCTTAAAGGTTATATAAACATTTATATATGGTTTTCTTTAAGAATCAATGTTAATTACATCATTAGGCTACACTTACCTTAACTGTGATTTAGTGCATCTTAAAAAAATCGCGAATAAGAATTCTTGACGTTGCTTGTTAGTCCAGAGGTCAAACCAATGACTTATAAGAGCCACTCTTTCCTGAAAGAGCTATAAGGGGGAGGGGAGGAAGTGACATTTTGCTGTACAGTTCAATGTTTTTAATTGCTAAGCAATCTTTAGACAATCTACCAGCAACCTCACTGCTAATATTTGCAGAGTGCATTACAGTTCACACAGCGCTTTTATATAGAGAGAGAAAGGTCTCTCCTTTCAGGTTAAACTTTTTACCCAGGGATACTGACAAGCCCAGACTTGTTGGTTGGGCTGATGGGAAGGACTGGCAGGGGTGTAATTATAGAGGGGCCCAAGAAGGGCCTCTGGAAAACAAAGAGGTAATGATTCCTGGATCTTGTTTCTACCTAGGCTAATGTGGCCTAGAGAAACAGAGTCCATACATTTCATCTTGAAAACATATACGGGCTACACTCATTTAATTGTGAGAACAGGACCATTTGAGGTAGGTATAACTTCACTAACTCACAACCCTGGATCTTCATAGCACCCACCAAGATGAAAGTAAGAATCACTTAATAGCCAACAGAGACATGTCTCTAGGGAAGATATACATTAAGGACCAGAATCCCCCAAACCTGGGTTTCAGTCCAGCTTTGCTCAGATAGAGATAACAAACTCACTGTTCTTATCATAGGTCAGGCTTTAGCCCCAGCCTGGTCTAGTCTCCTTTCCCGGTGAATGAGGCTGAACTCACAAGAGCACCCGTGAGAGCTCTGAGCACTCAGTTCGCCTTCTCTATTGCCAGAGCCACCATAAGCCATTACATCACGACTTTCTGAATTACCTTAAAATAGGAGAGGCATCCCCAGGCCACATGGAACCATCCAATTGGCACAGGAGGGGAGAGAGGACTACAGAAATACACAGGAACACATGCATGAACACTCCCAGCCTCCACCACCAAAAGCACCTTCTCATATCCTCCCCTGTCTCCAGCAACTGTGTGTCCTGGAGGTCTCTATTTTGTCCCTGGAGGTACTGAGTGGAAAGGGAGGCCATCTGGAGCCTCCCTTAAGGTAGGAGATGGGGACTGGCGTGAGAAGAGACTGTCTTTGGGACAAAGCTAAGTTTATTTTTGTTTAAACTGAATCAAAAGCTAAATTCTTTAGAGAGTTTTTCTTTTAAAATATGGCAACAATGAGATCCAATATATCACAGTAAAATTAACCCTATGAATTAAACTTGTTCTACTTTAAAGTATGTAACTCACCTGTCTATTTAATGACTTGTTGCTAAAAGGTGTCCAGGCACTAAATCTTGTGTGGAAGCTCTCCATCTCCGCAGTTCTCCAGGAAGAATCCTCAGTTGACGTCTCAGCAAATTTTCTTCCACTTCTGGAAACTACAGGTTTATTTCAATAGGTGTGCAATTAAGATCACCTAGAAATATCCAATATGTTAGTGTCCTTATAGGAATTATATAATTATAGAAATTCACATATAACACATAGACAGAATTATAACAATTCATGTGTATACATGTGTATATATACAATTCATCTGTGTATACGATAAGCCATACAAATATACACAAAAATCCCATGAACTTCAAATCATTGCAATTATTCTATTCTTACCTACTTTCACCCAAATCTGAATTTAAACAAAAGTTGTTTTTTACTTTGCTGGGAAAATGGGAAGCACTGGAAAGGTTTCAGGAAATGATACTTAGAAACTGACATGATTCATCAGCCAAGGAGGTTGACTTTTTCTTTACCTGGAAAATAAGAATTTGTTATTTTGTCAATTTTTTTTTTTTTTTTTTTTTTTTTTAGATAGAGTCTCGCTCTGTTGTCCAGGCTGGAGTGCAGTGGAGCGATCTTGGCTCACTACAACCTCCGTCTCCCGGGTTCAATCCATTCTCCTGGCTCAGCCTCCAGAGTAGCTGGGATTACAGGTGCGCACCACCATGCCTGGCTAATTTTTGTATTTTTAATGGAGACAAGGTTTCACCATGTTGGCCAGGCTGGTCTCGAACTCACGGACCTCAAATAATCTGCCCGCCTCGGCCCCTCAAAGTGCTGGGATTACAGGCGTGAGCCACTGCATCTATCCAAAAGTAAGAATTTGAAGTACTAGAAGATGATATTCCACCTGCCCATTTTTCAGGACAGAGGTCAAAGAGAATATAAAGAAAAACAAAATAGGCTATTGTATTATTTATTGCTGCATAGCAAATTACTCCCAAAATTTTCAGCTTAAAACAACAAACACTTATTTCAAAGCTTCTGTGATTCAAGAATCCAGACACAGTTTAGCGGGGTGCTGTCTTAGTCTAACAGGGCTCCTACAACAACAACCTGCCATAGACTGGGTGACTTGCACAGTGGAAATTTATTTTCTCATAGTTCTAGGGGCTATAATTCCAAGATTAAGATGCCAGTAGAGTTGGTTTGAGGAGGCTTCTCTTCCTGGCTTGTAGGCAGCTGTCTTCTCACCGTGTCCTCACGTGGCCTTTCTTCCATGTACATGCAGAAACAGAGATCTCTGGTGCTGCTGCTGCTTCTTCTTCTCTTTCTCCTTCTCCTTCCTTCTCCTTCTCCTTCTCCTCCTCCTTCCTCCTTCTTTTGCTTCCTCCTTCTTCTGCTTCTTCTTTCTGCTTCTCCTTTTCCTTCTTTTGAGACAGTGTCTTGCTTCTGTTGCTCAGACTGGAGTGTAGTGGTGCAATCATAGCTCACTGAGCTGGGCGTGGTGGTTCACGCCTGTAATCCCAGCTCTTTGGGAGGCTGAGGTGGGTGGATCACTTGAGGCCAGGAGTTTGAGACCAGCCTGGCCAACATGATGAAACCCTGTCTCCACTAAAAATACAAAAATTAGCCAGGCATAGTGGCGCACACCTGTAATCCCAGCTAATCCCAGCTACTTGGGAGGCTGAGGCAGGAGAATCACTTGAACCCGGAGGCAGTGGTTGCTGTGAGCCAGCCCTGGGTGACAGCGAGACTCCATCTCAAAAATAAAAAATAAAAATCATAGCTTTCTGTAACTGTAAACTTTTGGGCTCAAGGGTTCTTCCCACCTCAGCTTCCCTAAACACTGGGATTACAGATGCGAGCTGCACCTGGTCTCTTCTTATAAGGACATCAGTTCTGTCAGATTAAAGCCCCATGACCTTGTTTAACCTTTATTCCTTATAGGCACTATCTGCAAATACAATAATGATCGGGGTGAAGACTTCAACATATGAATTTGTGGGGAAAGGGGATACATTTCAGTTCATAACCAGTACCTCTGTGTCAAGGGCTCTTATAAGGCTACAGTCGAGGTGTTTGCAGGGACTGCAGTATCACTGAAGGCCCTGCAGCTCATTCATGTGGTTGTTGGTAGGATTCCATTCCTCATGCTCTGTTGGACTGAAGACTGCAGTGCTCACCAGCTGTTGGCTGGAGGCCTCCCTTGCCTTCCTTGCTACATGGTTCTCTCCATAGGGCATCTCCCATGGTAGCAGGCTTCCATCACAGTGAGCAAATGAGAAAGCAAGAGAGGGCACACCAGAGGGAAGCCACAGTCTCTTTGTAACCTAACCTCAGAAGGGATATCCCATCACTTTCACTATATACTATTGGTTAAAAGCAAGTCACCAGGTCCAGGCCACACTCAAGGGGAGAGGATTAGATGACAGCATGAATAGTAATATAGCCTATCATAGTTTACCCTTTGGGTCAGTTCCTTTCCTTTCCCATATGCAGAACACACATTTTTAAGGAAAACAACCCCAAAGTTCCATCTCATCAATATTTTTAGCACAGAGCTCATGAGCTAAGAACGATTCACAAGGTCTCTCTGTAGATACAGGTATAGCTCCCTTTGATCTAAATACCTTTGAACTAAAAAGATAAGTTATCTGGCCCTTGCCTCTGTAAACAATATATATCCTGGTAGAACAAGGAAAAGATAACTGCAATAGATAGTCCCATTCTTAAAGAAGGATGACATATGAAAGGATTCATAGCAATCCTGAAATGCAGCTACAGAAGACTGGGGCCCATTGATCATTTTGTCTCCAACAATCACATTCTCTTTTAGACCATGCCAGTGATTCCTTTGACAATGTCAACTTCTCAAAATTATCCTAAATTATGTATTTGATTCTAAGCAGTGCCATGTGCCACAATTATTTAGAGACCTTTTTTTTTCTCTCTCTCTCACTGTAGATATTTTGAGCCTATCAAGCTTCCTTAGAAAAAGCCAAACCCTATGTCTTCCTTCCTTGAGATGTTTTTCCAACTCAAAGTATTGGATGGGTACCACCTTGTTCCATTCAGAGATCCTAAAAATGGTGTGACAACCATACTTTTGACTGGTCCTTACCAATAGGCATAGTTTTCAGCATCATTTATTGCTCAAAGGTCTTCTCAGTTTTTTCTTTACTAGTTGAAGATGTGAATCAGTTATTCCTTCCAACTGTGCTGAGTTTTGAGACTCTCTGAATTCTTTTATATTCCTGCTTGCAAACCAGCCAAATATTTTCTGAGCTCCTCTATCTCTTCTAGTACTTTGGCAAATGTGGCCTGTAGTAATAAACTCATTCTAATAGCATTCATTTTCTACCTCTTTGCATACAGTACAAACTTATTAGGTATATAATATGCCCTTTAATCTATTCCAGGCTATAGTTTTACAACTTTTTCCCACTGCATCACATGGATTGCCATCTTTTCAGGTCTTCCACAACAATTTCATGCTGTCAGACTGGAATGCCACATAATATAGAATGTGTTGCTGTTGTTACGGCAACATCCTACTCCTGGAACTGATTTCTGTATCTACCAAACATTCAAGGAAGAAATTACAGTTACACAAAATCTTCCAGAGAACAAAAAAAGTGGGAATGATTCCCAAGTTCTTTTATGAAGTTGGTATAACCTTTGTATAATCTTAACACCAAAACCCAAGGACTTTACAAGAAAGAAATATTACAAGCATACTACCATAAATATAGATGCATAAATCCTACCAAAAATTAGAACACCAAACTCAGTAGTATATAAAAAAGATCATATATCACCAGCAAGTTGGATTTATGTAAATTTTGTTTGACATTACAAAATCAATGTACTTCTCATTATGAACAAAAGAAAAAAAGAGAGAAAATTATATGATAATCTCAGTATATACAAAAAGTTTTCTTTTTGTTTGTTTGGAAAGGGTCTTGCTCTGTTGCCCAGGCTGGAGTGCAGTAGCTTGATCTTAGCTCATTGAGGCCTCAACCTCCTGGACTCATGCAAGCCTCCCACCTCAGCCTTAGCTGGGACCACAGGCACGTACCACCATGCCTTGGCCTCCCAAAGTGCTGGGATTACAGGTATGAGCCCTGCAGCTGGCCCAAAAAGTGTTTCTGATAAACCTCAATACCCGTTCATGACAAAAAGATCTCAGCAAACCAGGACTAGAAAGGAATTTCCTAATCTGAATAAGGACAAATACAATAACCTATAGCAGACATGACACTAATGGTAAAATCATAAAACTTTCTCTCTGTTCACTACCACTGTCTTTATTTAACATTATTCTGGAGGGTCTTTCCAATGTGATAAACCAATAAAATAAAGTAAAATGTTTAATAATTTAAAAGGAAAAAATAGGCCAGGCGCGGTGGCTCACGCCTGTAATCCCAGCACTTTGGGAGGCCAAGGCAGTGGATCACTTGAGGCCAGGAGTTTGAGACCAGCCTGGCCAACATAGCAAAACCCCATCTCTACTAAAAATACAAAAAGTAGCTGGGCGTGGTGGTGCATGCCTGTAGTCCAGCTACTCGGGAGGCTGAGGCAGGAGAATTGCTTGAACCTGGGAGGCAGAGGTTGCAGTGAGTTGAGATTGCGCCACTGCACTCCAGCCTGTGTGATGAGGTGAGACACTGTCTCAAAAAAAAAAAAGGAAAAATTAAATTGTCATTATGTATTACAAACATAATTATCATAATTATATGTAGAAAATATTAAAGAATCTATAGATAAATTCACAAGCTTGGCAAGGTTGCTGCACACTAGGCTTACATACAGAAATCAATTGTTTTTCTGTATGCTAACAACATTTAATAAGCAACAACATATCATTTATAACAGCATTTAAAAATCCAATATAGGCAGAGGCAGGAGGATTGCTTGGGTCTGAGTGTTTGAGACTAGTCTGTGCAACATAGCAAGACCATGTGTCTACAAAATTTTTTAAAGAAAATTAGCCAGGAATGGTGGTGCATGCCTGTAGTCCCACCTACTCCGGAGGCTAAGGTGGGAGGATCGCTTGAGTCCTGGGAGGTTGAAGTTTTACTGAGCTGTTATCTTATCCCTGCACTCCAGCCTGGGCAACTGAATGAGACCCTGTCTCCAAAACAAAAACAAAAACAAAATCCAATATAAATCAAGGTGGGACAAGTATTCCAC